TTAATGATACTTTATTGCTGATCATCAATTAAAGTTTCAGCTTCATGCTCCATGAAAGTTCAAAGTTTCTTTGTTTGGTTTGTTTGTTTGTTTGTTGTTTAACGTCGGAATCAGCAATATTCCAGCTATATGATGGCGGTCTGTAAATAATCGAATCTGGACCAGACAATTCAGTGATTGACATCATGAGAATCAATCGATGCAATTGGGATGCAAAGACATGCATTAACCAAGTCAGCCCAATACAGTTAGTTGCCTCTTACGACAAGCATAGTCACCTTCCACTGAGAGCATGGTTTGCTGAAGACCTTTTCTACCCCGGATCTTCGGGGGGGGGGGGTGAAATTTCTAAGTGCTGCTGTTGTCACGGCAACTGGCTTGGGCGAGCAACAACTGGGACCATGTGCTACTTCAAGTGAGTCCCAAACAGAAGCAAACCTCATCCATCTTAGACTAACACTTAGTCTCGAAAAATACATAATTTGGATAGGAACAAGCAGATCCATTTAAATTGAAAAGGAGCTCCAGTGCAATGGGAGTTTCAGAACCTGGGGCTATGCATTACAGCAGGGGCGGGTAGAAGGGAAAATAAGAGGTTCATGGACTGTAAGACTGACAACATCCACCCTTCATTAGGCATGTTAGGAAGAACACAAAACTTTTAATAATTCCAACCAATCTTTGAACATCTAGCTTTACCCTGTCAGCTGACAAGCAATGATAAGGAAAAGTGCATCTTGGGGAGGCAGAGAATGTATCTCATGTGTCTTGTATGAGCAGAGATATATTTTCCAACTTTTCAGTGTACACAACACCAGTTGGTCACTGCAATATAAAGTTGCCATGTCGGCAATCCCTTCCTCCCAGTCTTCTGTGATACAGCTTAGGTCTTGAAGATTCACTGTGGCCAGCTAAGATAACAAACAAAACACTTCTCCACTAGCTGTCTCGAACATGATACTTCATTGATAGCCCTCATGAGAAAACCCATAGTTCCAACTACTTTTCTAACAACCAACTATTTGGCTCTTGAGAGAATGTTAGAGTAACTAGCGGAATATTTAAACCACTTTTCAATGGGAAGTACGAAATAATGCACAATGTCTAATGGCTGATTGCTGAAATGAGCCAAAGAGTTATAATTTTTAGCTACACTGAGATTTTGTGAGTGAGTGAGTGAGTTGGGTTTAACGCCGCTTTTAACAGAATTCCAGTTATATCACAGCGTGTCAGCTTAATGTGGGAGGAAAGCCTGAAGTGATGCAGGTCTCAGACATTTACCACTTCAATGAAACCCACAAGCACGGGTATGGTGCTGACAAACCTAGAAACATAATCGGGGCGAACCGGGATTCGAACCCAAAATCATAGGTTTCTGGCGTGCCCGAGGGATGCAATTCTTCACAGAGAATCGGGGCGCTCTCATTCATAAAGTGACAAATCGACATGATATATGATCATCACCATATGCAGGTAAGATTGGCAACACACATCATTCATTGCATACACTATGTATGTGTCAGCTGATATAGATATATACACAAGGTACCAAGGAAGTTAAACGACCACATATGATAATCATGATACTGACATATCTTCCTCATATTCCTATTTCTATATCAATGGAATTTGCTAGCATCATGATCATAGATATCTGAATTACAGCGTTAGAAACAAACAGTTTTAGTCCACTAGTCCTTATAACGATAACATATAGCAAAACCTTTACAAATGGCAAATGTCTACAAGTCTTTATGATACCTTTACTATTGGGCAGTTTGGCCAGAACTAGTGCCAGTTTCTAACACTAAATCATTCTTGAATAAATACAAAATCATCAAAACATTATCATCAATAAACTGGGTACCGGTATTATTCACATCTGTTCATTCAGTCTCAAACTAAGTCAAATATACGAAACATTGGGGTTGAGTAGCACCTGCCACAGCGTAAAGTCCAACATAACATGTCAAGCCTGGATCAAGATCCTTACTGTGTAACAAATGACTCCAAAAATAACCAGTAACAGCAATATTCTCAAATGTGATGAAACAAAAACCATTACGTTCCAGCGACCCATGAAGATCTGGGAAGAGAAAAGGTCTTCAGCAACCCAAGCATGATATCAGAGGCGACTATGTCGTAAGAGGCGATTAACCAGATTAGGCAGCGGTTGCAGTGATATCATAATAGAAATATGAAGTGGGATATCTTTGCCATCAAGTTTAATGCAAAATCAGCAACAGAAACTAACATCTCATGATCTTTAGTCCACTAGTCCTTATAATGATAACATAAAACAAAACCCTTAAAAAACGTCAAATTTCTACTGGTCATTATGATACCTTAACTATTGGTCAGTTTGGCAAGGACTACAGGACCAGCTTCAATTTCTAATGCTGTCAGGTGGTCAGGATTGCTGCAGCACTTTGAACTTTCAACTCGTGAAGATTCGGGGTAAAATAGGCCTTCAGCAAGCCATGCTTTCCGTAAAAGGCGACTATGCTTGTCGTAAGAGGCAACTGACGGGATCAGGTGGTCAGGCTCACTGACTTGGTTGATGCATATCATTGTATACCAATTGAGTAGATCAATGCTCTTGATGTCAGTCACTGAATTTTCTGGTCCAGACTCAATTCCTTACAGACCGCCATCATATGGCTGGAATATTGCTGAGTGTTGCATCAAACAACAAACACCATTCCAAGATACTTGGGGATGAGGAGAGTGAGTGAGTTAGTATGGTTTTACGCCGCTTTTAGCACAATTCAAGCAATATCACAGCGGGGGACACTAGAAATGGGCTTCACACATTGTACCCATGTCTGGGATTCGAACCCGGGTCATTGGTGTGACGAGCGTATGGTTTAACCACTAGGCTACCAGACGGGGATGAGGAGAGGACATAATGTTTTAAAAAACAGAATCAGTAGGCCCAGCCACCCATGTTTGCTAATAAGCCAGTGATCATTATAGCACCTATACCGAAACATCACACTGAAAGAACAAAGAAGTACTAAACCAAAGCTAACCCCATCTTCATTAATAGTCAGATTATACATTCTAAAGTAGGCACAGAAAAATAAAAGTACACTGTCAATGCGACATAGGTAAATTGAAATAACAATTTGTAATTTGGAGTAAACACATGCCATAGGGTTGTAGCATGGTAAGCATGGTAAAGGGCGAAGAATTCAAAGACATCCCAGTATAAGAATATTGTACTTTCACAAAAATAGTATGGTTAGCAACAAAAATCTGCTGTAATAGATCACATAAAATTGACAGTGCCTTCACCATGTTTACAACTGGTGAGTTTAAAAAGTTTATATTGTGTCTTATCTATAAAATCATATATGACCACAAAATATACCTCACAGTTTGGATGTGTTGTATATACACATTTTGCAAAATAGATAATCTACAAATATATACATGATATACAGCTTGTCTAAAAAATTCCTAACGTCACCTGCAGTATGATAGATGAAAGTCAAATCTCAACAGATGTTAATATTCATAAGTCCACATATTGGTCATGTTGGTAAGTCAATCACATGTAAAATTACGTAAGCCTGCATGTTTCATAATACGTAATATGTCATCCCTGCTAATCACTGAACTAGGATAAGAATCATACATCAATAAACTGTATAATTATCATGATTATAACTAGAGAGAATGGATGCTATTGCATCAATATCACTGCAGAGACAGGTGGTAAAATGTGTTTTCTGCTTGATCAGCAAACTAAGAAAGCAAATGAGCCCACCACCCAAATTAGCAGTAAAACATAACTCCAGAAAAATAATTAAGCAGGAATATTCAAGGATGATGTCTCAACATGGAATCAAATGTCCATAAATAAACATTGAGGTCCTGATTGCTGTCTGTGCAAACCTATTAGCATCAGTAGATTTTAGAGTTATTATCTTGACTACTAACTTTACTAAGCTTACTAGACCAAACAGAATTTTACTAGACTATGACTTGTGGCTAAAGTTTCAGACTGTGATTGTAGTGAAGTAAGAGTTTGTCAGTATGCAGTGGCATGCAATCAACATGATCAATGGACACGAAGAAGATGAATGGTTTATGTAAAATACGCCAAAGAAATGTAGATCCATCAAAAGATTGATAGATCATCAATGTTATCGAGGTAATTTTGATAAATCATAACGAAGATTCATGACAGCTCAAACTATTTCATTGAAATGTATTAATCATGTTTATCTAGAATGTTGCAAAAGTTAAACTATATCACAAATTAAATATATATTTGCTGAATTGATTTGATATGATTTATTTCTTCTGCTATAGTGTTTGATTTGTTTGTAGTCATATTCTTATACTGGAATAAATAGTGTTCACCAAGCACAATCAAGGGTATCAGCCTGCTCATGTTCATAGCCTGATAAGTGTACTTCATCATGTCTGGGCTAATTCAGTGTTAGGCAAAACATTCCACAAGAAACATGTGAAAACATAATATATATGCTGCTTTTTTCTACGTGATTCAGTTTTTACTTAAAGGCTGATGATGTTGTATGTCTGATGCCCCATAAAAATGAAAGACCAAGTTGCGAGTTTTTCAGCCCCTATCCGTAATTAGCTAGATGTCATGAATACAATTGTTTATCATCTCAAAGTAAGAACAAAAGGGGAATTTTCTTACGAATATACTATGACTTGTCATGACAGTGCAACACTAGGCTACCAAGCACGAGAATACATAGACGATATGTCTATCGTCTACTTTGCACCTCAGGCAACTCATTTAAAGAGCTGCGAGTCATGTCAATAACCACCGTTATTGACGCATAACAACGACACTATATGTTAATATAGTCAGAAATCATATAAAATAAAAATCTCAAGTCCATATCAGGAACTGAATTTTTCATAATTATTATCTTGGCCTCGACTACCCGGATAATTTTTAAAATAATGTCGACTGAAGTTTGCAAATCTTTTCCGCGGAAGCTCAATGCGACACTTACAAATTCTCATCTGGGGCAGTCAGTTGGTCGACCTGTTCTTCAACGCATTCCACATCAGCAGAGGTTGGGTCGAAATCCTCCCCGACATCCAAATTTCCGCTATCATCCCCAGAAACACCCGTTGTTCCTGTGTAGCCATCGGCAGACATGTTATTGTCGGCCATTTTTATTTCCCTCCGCATCTCCGAGCATAAAACAAGAAAGGCGCTGATTGGTCAATATTGAACGCACCTTGCTGACGAGTGGAAATGGCGGCGGGTTTGAATACAGATATGTCAGGGTTTTTTATTTTAAGAGCATTTACGTAGTACGCAGACATCTTGTTCAATAATATCGTTTCGTTACAGATGTTTTAAGATGACGATCATTCAATACTGAACATTATCAAGAGAATGTGATCATTGGGAATTGTATAAGCTTTTGATTTTGCAAGGTATTGAAATGTATCTCATCGCCATTTTTATCATGGTAAATGCCCTTAACCCATTTCCATTTCTTTTATCAGTAACTTCTCACTTTATCTTCAATCATTATATATATATAGAGAGAGAGAGAGAGAGAGATGGAGATATATATAATTCAATATATAATAAGGACATAGATATATAAGAAAGAGAGCGATATAAACATATAGAATATAGAAAGAGTGAGAGAGATAGCAACGCGATAAATCGTAAAGAACGGTGCGTTCTATCATGACGTCATTTCTGGTGATTCGAACATACCCTCGCAACTTGATGACGTCGTAACATTGGACGACGTTGTTTTGGGGAGGGAAGTGTCTAGTAATTTGTTCCCATAGATGTATCTGGGCAACGGAGATGAACGCAATGGCCGAACGATCGCATCCAAAAGTGAGAGAGATATGACAATCGGTATTGGGAGAAAAAGTACAGAAAATCGACGTAAAAATTTGGAGAAAATGCGGGAAAGGCCAAATGTAACCAACTAACATCCCACCCCTATTGCCGCGGTGGTATTCTATTCAGTGAGTCATCATTTTTATAAATACGGGTAAATGTTTTTGAAGCGTATAGTTTTTACTAACATCCTTAAAGAGGCTGTACGTAATGTTGATATCTCATATAAGCAATAAACGACGAGTGGGAGTTGTTTATCGTACAATAAAACACTACAGCGAGAAAACACCACTCGGGGCTGCGCCTATATATAAATCAAAGTTCGGAGATGGAGAACAACCAAAATGCGATTATAATACAAAACGATTGATAGAGCTACAATGCATGAGATTTGACGTGTGTAGACATGTTTCCCATGTCTAACAAACGTTTATGAATTAATTAATTTCTCATTAAAATCAGATCTCAGTTCTCGCTACCGCTAAGCTTTGTTTAGCGGTAGCGAGCACTAAGGTCTGATTTTAGTGAGATTGAAACAGATTCCAATGGGCGTAAAAAGCAAAATAGCGGTGAAAAGTATATGAATGATTACCCTCTGCGGCAAGCTCGGGGGTTAATGCTGACATCTTACATTCTTGTGGTCATTATGCACCCTTCGTTTCTTGGATGAACGAGGCTGGGTAGCGTCGTGGTTGAAGTGCTTGCTCGCCACGCCCTATAGACCCTGCATGGTTCAATTCCCCACATGGACCCAGTGTGTTACGTCCGTTTCTAGTGTCTTCTGTCGTGAAATGTCTGGACTATTACTTTTGTAAGTGCGTACGTTACACCACGCAATGGCAATCTCTCGTGCTTTCAGATATAGATGCTTGAATCTCACTCACTCACCTACACGCACATCTACTCACACACACATACACACTCAGACCTACTCACTCACTCACTCACTCACTGTTCAAATAGGCTTTTAGCTCAATTCGCTCAAAATAATAGTTCTGAAGGTGTCGCCAATTCCAACACGAATAAAGGCAGAGAAATATTTGCCAAGCAGTATATTCCCATCAATATAAACTAGGACCAGGCCTGTTTGGCAAATAATATATCTGTCTTCATGGGAGATAACCTCTCACTGCACATATCGCCAAACAGAATGAAGTGCAATAAAATCCCCATTTTGCCCTCGTATTGGTAATATTTCTGAGTGGTATGCATGTGACTTTTAGTTGGATAGGTAATGTGGCCGAGGGGCGCAGTGCATGATGTTATAGACTATAAAGAATCGTGCAAGGCTACCACCAAATATGCAGGAATGTTGAGATCAAAGCTTGTTGATATAACTCCAAAGGTGGGTGAGGTGAGGAGCAATGGTCTGAAACGTCGCGTTCAAGATTGCTGCGCTTATATAAGCGACCTCCATGCACGTGTGTGTGGCTGCAGTTTAACATGGATAGCCCACTCAGACAGCATACTGACTCCGAGTCGACCAGCCCTTGTGTTATCCCCTAATTGCCGAGCGCCAGGCAGGGTTACAACAAGCGTACCATCTTTTGACGATTTTTAGAGTGACACCCGAAATCGAACCACCGACCTTCCGCTCGTCACATGAATGCGGTTTCCTCTCTCGTCAGAGCAGATAAGGTTTCAAGTGTTGACCTGGCATTATATGTGATCTCTACTTAGATAATCTGACTTAGTTTAGTTTACGCCACCTTTAGCAATATTCCAGCAATATCACGGCGAACGCTTCACCCACAAGGCCACCCGACCGCCTCTCCACTTTGATAAAACAAGGGTCACTTCTTGAAGAGGCGACCGCCTCCGTGGTCTAGTGGTAGAGCGTCCAACCGGAGAGGTCCGGGGCTCGATCCCCGGCGGCGTCATACCAAAAGACGTTAAAAGATGGTACTTGTTGTTACCCTGTCTGGGACTAAAACAAGGACTGGTCGGCTCTGAGTCAGTATACTGTGTCTGAATGGGGTATTCATGTTAAACTGCGACACGGTATATCAGTGGGCTAGCACTAATAATCGGCATCAGTCCGGACTAGTACAAGCACAAACACACACACACACACGTGCATGCACGTCGCTAAATAAGTGCAATAATCTTGGACGCAGCGTTAAACCCTATTTTACCTCACCTCACCTCACCTCACCTCACCTCACCTCACCTCACCTCACCTCTTTGAGAGGCATTTGGAAGTTGGAGAATTAAGTAAGGATACGATATATGGATGAACAAATTCTTTATTACAATCAGGAGAGACGTTTCGGTGTAGGTTCTAACATCGTTGTCATGCAAATTACGTACAACGTATAGTTGACAAGCATATACACAGGTATGAGGCAGTGTTTATACAGTTGGGTAAATTGGGATATGGTTCCACTTGAGTGGAGAAGCCTGTTATGTACACGAAAGACTTGATATAAGGTAAACATTTTAACAGGTAAGCCTGTTGTATAAACAAAATGAGTATGGTTGATTGGGGTCTTTGAAGAGTTGATGGTACGCATGGGGAATGTAATAGTCTTGATCACGGTTGATTGATGGTTGGATTCTTTTGACGTTGATGGTTTCTTGGAGTTTTCTGATTTCGAAGTCTTTGAGGTTGGTTTTAAGGGGATTTGATTTTGTCCCTCTGGATGCTGTGGCTGGGGTTGTCACGGATGGAGTCTGATAGAGCTGACTTATAGAGTCAATTTTAGAGACTGAGCTTTGGTGTTCTTTAAATAACTGCTATGTGAATCAATCCACGCATATTGGGGTACGATGACATGTATCAACCAAGTCAGCGAGCCTGACCACCCGATCCCGTTAGTCGCCTTTTACGGCAAGCATGGGTTGCTGAAGATCTATTCTACCCCGGATCTACACGGGACACCTAAAACATTGCCCTATAAGTAATGACCATGTATAAATTGAAATTTACAACGATTATGATGACACAGTGGCCTTTACTAGTACATAGAGCAGTGAAACGTGCTTTCTTACACAGTATAGTCATTTTGCTTTGCGTTTTTCGTTGTGACAAAGTCCCGCGTGATTAGGTTCCTTGGTCCATGTAAGTGTCATGGTCCTTGGCCTTTAATCATTACCTCGTTGGGATTAGAATTGATCCCCAGCAACCCATGCTGGTGGCCAGAGACGACTAACGGGATCGGGTGGTCAGACTTTATCAATGGGTTGATGGCGTGTCATCGTGTCTCGACGGCGTTGATAGTTGTTAACGATATCATTCACTTGATTTTCTGGTCAAGGCTCAATTATCAATATGCCGCCGTCTTATACCTGAAATATTCCTGAGTGCGCGGTTAAATCACGCACTAACACTAACACCATATCCTTACCTTTGCTATACAGTAACGGTGGATACAATTTGGTTTTAGTATAAACGCAAGTTACTTGGAAGCCTTTAGTCAAAGGGAGACAATTCTATAGACAAATACGTTCGCGTGTTAATTTCATGGAGGCTTTGGTGATGATACGTTTGGACAATGGGGCTTATGGGTAATTCAACGGGCCATACATCCACTGTCTATCTGTGAAAGTGCCTGACGCGATAGTACTTCCCTAATAGCATGTACTTAATCAACAACCACCCTAACACCACCCACCCCTCATCCCATCAACTACATCAACCTGTACCCACGCATTAAAAGACTTGAGGGCTCGTTATACCCGAGGGTTCCCTTGTAGAGTATATTTTAATATTCAACCGGGTGTATACATAGCGCAACGTACACTATAATGCAATGCAAACACTGATTACAAATAATCAGCTATTTCAAACCAACATTTACCCTGTTATGGCAACATTAGCTTTATTAATGCCCTGTTACAGCAACTATCATGTCTAACACTGTCTTCATGAGAAACACGTTATTTCCGCGAAGTAGGGTGTGTTGGGAACGCGTTGGTGTAATGATAACATAATAACATTGAGGGTACACTTATCAAGTGATGAAATAAGTCAATTTCAAATCGATGACAACATTCCTGAAGAATTGTCCTTTTTGTGTCTCTCGAAATCGCATTGTTGTACTTATTGACTTTGGACAGAAACATTGGACCAACATAGTTCTTTGAAGGAACGGAATGCGCGTCCACAAACAACATATGATGGCCCCCAAAACAAACTGCATCACCATAAGCGCTCACATCGACAAATGCGCAGCAGGAAAGGAAATACAATTAAAAAATATTCCCTTTCTTTAATGAATACAGCTGATGACGTGCAACGTGAAGCTAAAGAAGGCCTTAGCATTAAAAAGTTGTGCCCATCTTTAAATAGATAACGCAATGTATGAAGTACA